ATGTGTTCACTGGGGTCACTAATGTTACTCGCACACACTCATGGACACAGGTACACCTGTAGAAAGCCTAAGTAAGATGGGCTGTATCAGAGTGAGTGTCCCAGTTGTAATATTGAACTATAGCTTTTCAAGATGCCCTGGGAAACTGGTCAAAGGGCCCACGAGGTCCCTGTGCTGCATTGATGTGTGTCTAGAGAGATCAGGTAGTGTCCTGACTTCATCACCTACCCACAGGGTGACCTTAGACAGGTCATCACTCTAAAGCCACATCTCTTCCCTGCTGACTATCAGACAGTTGTGGGTTTTACTCTGTAGGATGACTGCAAGGATGTTGTCAACGAGCACAATGCCTCAGAGAATCTAAAACTTCCACAAATGTCACCTCAGGCAAAACTCTCATCTTTACAAAGGAGGAAAGATACAGTGACCCAGCCAGGTCACTCCAAATTGAGTCAGAATGTTGGTCCCTGAAGCCATCTTCTATTTGGTCAGAGAAGTGAAGATCAAAAGTGAGAAATCTGGGGGTGGATACACTGACTTTCTCCTCCTGACCTGGTATGTGTATTGGGGGAGGGTGAAACCAAGAACAGGCAGGAGATATATTAGAGGACAAAGGAGCAGTAGTCAGGGGGCAGGCACCAAAAAAGAGGCTAAGGAAATCAAAGAGCCGCTGAGCAACAATAGTTCATGGGGCTATTGTGCTCCAGCCTAGATCTTCTGATGGTACTGAATGGATTCCCAGCCATGTCCGCTTCGCTCAGCAGGGTTCCTGGAAGGGTCATCTGGGTTCAAGGATGTGACAGCTGCTCTGGACAGCAAAAAGGCACTGCACATGCTTGTGACTGCTGATGCTCAGCACCATGATGGCTTGTAACTGGGGAGTCAAAGGAGCCCTCTGAAGCCAGTCCACATTTTGTCAGTTTCACTTTCACAGGTCCAACCTGGGCAACTACTGCTTTGTGCGCATAGCCAGGGCTCAGAGCCTAGCCCAGCTGCTCAAAGATGACCTAGAGAAGGAGGAAGAACTGCCTCAGCTGGGTGCTTGTTACAAGTGTGCAACTGCTGTCCCCAGCAAGATCCCATGAGCCACTGCATCTCACAGGATGTATGTATGTATTTATGTATGCATGTATGTATGTATGTATATGTATGTATATAGTGTCTGTGTGTGTAGTGGCAACCCCTCCTATTTCTGCCTCCACAGTTATGTGATTATGGGTAGACTGCATGCTCTGTTTTGCAGTACTGGGGACTAAACCCAAGACTGCATGCACACCAGGAAAACACTCTACCCACATTGCTAAAGCCCCAGTCTCTGCCTTCTAGTTTCTTAGGGAGAAAGCAAAGGCTTGGAGAGTGTGAGGAGTTCACTTAGAGTCACCAGGCACATTTGCACTCAGTCAGAGCTGGCTCTCCATCTCCCAAACTCCTGGACAGCTGCCTCAATCCAGAGGCTCTGAGAAAATGGATGAGGAGGGTGAGTTTGCATTTTCTAAGTCTTTAGTTTCTGTCCTCAAGTAGTTCTGGCAAAACCAGCATCCCTGGGTTACCACTGTCAGCTCTTGGTTTGACTTCAGGTAAGAGAGCAGTCATCCAACCCACAGATAGAAACATTTCTCCTTGGGCCAGCAAGATGGCTCAGATTGTTTGCCACCAAAATGGTCATCCCAAGTTCATCCCTGGAATCCACAAGGTGGAAGGACAGAACCAACTCCTGAAAATTGTCCTCTGAGCTTCACACACAAACTGTAACATAGCTCCCAATAAGATCAACAAACTAATTATATTTAAAAAAATAAAAATCCAATATATGAGGCCACTGGCAGTGGGACCTAGACCTAACTCCAATGCACAAACTGACTTAGTGGAGCCCATTCTGTATGGAGAGATACCTTGCCCAGCCTAGACACAAGGGTGTGTGGGGTGGAGAGCTGCCTTGGTCCTGCTCAATGAGATGATGAGACAGACTTAGTAGAATTCCTAGGGGAGGCCTTACTCTCTCTGAGGAGCAGATGGGAGGTGGGGGGAGTGGGAGGAGCAGAGAGAGGGGAAATTGGGATTGGAATGTAAAAAATAAATTAATAAAAAGATAAAAATGCATATAATTTTATAAAAAATAAAAATATCACCCCCTGCTGTGCAGAGGCTCACAGCATCTGGCTTCTGTGTGGAATGACCCCTCTGTGCCTTCATCATCTCTAATGGAAAGGATCCCTTCCTTGACAATCACACACTGAGTACCTACCTAGCCCAGGCCAGGTGTGGTGCTCAGGCATCACTTGGGTCACAATGGCTAAAGATCCAAGGAAAAGGGAAGGGATCATGCTGAGACTACAGCTAGAAAGCCCGAAACAGCAAGCTGCTTCTTCTGGAATTATTTTTTTGACCCTTTTGCCAAGCAGGACTTTAGATGTCCTTCCCATGGACCCACACCAGGATCAAATGAGAGATCTGGTCCATCTTAACTTTCCTGAAGAGGAAGCTAATGTCCAGAGAGGGGCAGAGACTTCCTCAAAGATCAAAGCATCAGCAGTACTGCCTTCTTATGGACTTACGGAGTCTCCCTCTAAATTCCTGTGGTAATGTCCTATGTCTCACGTAGTGGCATTTGTTGGAGGAGCTTTTGGAGGCAGTTAGGTTTAGATGGTATCATGGCATTCTGTGGCGGGAACTAGAGTCTTTACAAAAAGATTAGAGAAATGGTTTCCTCTCAGCAGTGTGAAGACATTGCAAGAAAGTGTCTGAGCCAGGGTGACATAAGTCCTTCCAGATGAGGGCCCTTCCAAATATAGAATTGGCTGGGTCATTATTTCTGGGTCTCAGCCTCCAGATCTGTGAGAAGTGTCAGTTGCCCAAGCCACCAGGGGATGATATTTTACATCAGCAGCCTGAACCAGTCACATCAGGGCTCTACACCTTTTCTGTGCCCCACCCCTCTACCTATGAGAAGGTGTGTTGAACTTGTGCCAACAAAAGTCCATGCTCTACTGAGTCAGACAAAAATCTGGTTAAATTATGGTGTCTTTAAAGTACTCAGCCTAGCAGTGCTGAGAAAGGAATTCAGCTCACAGCCCAAGTTCAAGGACCAGAGGCACCCAGCTCCCCACAGTGGGCTGGGACTGGGCATGGTGGAGAATGGCCTGGGCCTAGGCAAAGTCTGGCACTCCCCAACAGCTAGCAGGACTTTCCAACAAAAATGTTGGAGAACTAGATGAGTATTTTTTGGCTTCATCAGGAGAAAAGAAAACTGCAAAGTCAAACCTAATAAATGTTTAATTAAATGTCCACACAGGGTAGCACCATGTCAACATATTAAATTGCCCAATTAATTATGCCTAAAAATCTTATTACAGGTAAAAGATTTAAATTTTCTCATTTTGCAAGAATGTCTCTGTAAGCTTGTCACTTCTAAGAAATCACAGCTATTGTAAATTAATGTAGGGACAAAATCACAGTATTTTGTTATAATCTTTTCAGAAATTTTTTAATGGAAAGGATATCCATAATGTAGAGATGTTGCCATGCTTTAAAGAGTTTGTTGTGAGGATGGGGGGCTGGAAGTGCCCCCCAAAAGTTATCCAAAGCTGGCCCTAGACAGCCTCTTGGATATCTTTAGGCACATTGCTTGGCACCTTGGTGTTCTGGTTACTTTCCATCCTGAAATACCCATGGGGTTAATAACCTGACTGAGACAGCCACACCAGGGCTCCATACCCTTTCTGGTCCAGTTTGTGCCTTATCCCTCTACCTATGAGAAAGTGTGCTGAAACTGTGCCAACAGGAGTCCTTGCTCTATTAAGTCAGGCAAAGATCTGGTTATGATATTTGTGAGGGTCAAAAACTCAAATTCTAGGGAGGAAGATGTGAAAGTCAGGGTAGGAAGTGCAAGACTTAAGAGGGTACCAGCAACCAAAGAACCATCTGGTCTTCAGTCACTTAACAACTGGTGTCTGTTCTGAGGAAGGCACTGTTGAATGGTTTTGTCATAAGGGCATCTTAGAATGAACCCATAGTCAACTTCAAGTTCTTCACTGGAGAGGCTGCCTTGTCCATAACAGGGACCCGGCCTAGCTGGCAAAGCTTACCACAACACTTGGCAATAGGACATGATCATAAGTAACCTGTGGTCCCTAGTCTACCACCAGAAAAGCAAACTGGAACAAGCCCAGGAGAAAATGAGGTCAATGAGAGGTCGTGAAAAAGAGTTGGAGTTCACTGCTAGTATAAAATGCAAACTATTACAGAGAGCTTGGTTCTAAGTAGAAGAATACTTCAAACTAACAGTAAGGAGTATAGTATAACAGTGGGCTAAGAGCATGGTTCAGCTGCCAATATGTGTGCCTAGCAGGCAAGAAGCCCTGGGATCCATGCCCAGTTTACATAAGCTGGGCCTGGTATGGTGCTCACCTATAATCCCAGTACTTGTGAGGTAAAAGCAAAAGTAATGGAGTTCAAAGTCATCCCTGGTATTGAGTGAAAGATCAGAGTTGGGGGAAAATATAGCAACAAGGCTGCCTACAGCTCCCCAGTGTGCTACAGGTCAGTGCACAGGCTGGCTTTGTACCTCAGGCAGCACAGATCTACTCAAATCCCAAAACCTTCCAAAAACAGTGGGTTTGAGGCAGACACTGGGACATCACTAGATGTTGGGAATTCTAGCTCCACTACACTTAATGCAGTGGTTCTCAACCTATGGCCTTTGTCCCCTTGGGGGCCAAAATCACAGGGGTTCTATAACGGATATCCTGCGTTGCCACAACACAAGGAATTGTATTAAAGTGTCACAGCATCAGGAAGGTTGAGAACCACTGTTCTAATGGAATCACCATCATGGTAGTTTGAATGTAACAGGTCCCCATAATCTCATAGAGAGTGGCACTATTAGGAAGTATGGCTTTGTTGGAGTGGGTATGACCTTGTTGGAGGAAGTGTGTCACTGTGGGGGAGGGTTTGAGGTTTCCTGTGCTCAGGATACCGCCCAGTGTCTCTGTCAACTTCCTGTTGCTTGTAAGATGTAGCACTTTCGGCTCCACCACCATGTCTGCCTGCATGCTGCCATGTTTCCCACGATGATGATAATGGACTGAACCTCTAAAACTGTAAGTGAGCCACCCCAATTAAATGTTTTCTTTATAAGAGTAATGGTATCTCTTTTTCATAGCAATAGAAACTCTAAGACAACCATCTTACATAACCTAGGTTGAGAAGCCTGAAATATTTTCTTACCCAGAAAAGTAAATATTCAAAAATGATGAGAATGAGGTAGAAAAGCAAAGTAGTTATACCGGGCCATTTCTGGGGCAATTTCAATATAAACACACAGAGAAAGTTATAAGTGATAACCCATAGTAAGTAAGATAGGAAACCAGACATGGGTGATACATATATGAAGAAATAGAAAGTCTGATGAGGAATAGAGTAGTTATTAAAGGTGGTTATCGGCTTCAGACAGGGAGACAGCAAAAACACTAACATACAGTGGAGAGCCTGGTGAGCTCTCCTGGTCTATCCATGTGAGCATCATCACTAACAGGATGCTGGAATATCTGCTGACCAATAAGACACAGAACAGAGGCATACCCTAATTCAGCAAGGATAAAATGGCAGCCACATGCAGACTGAGAGATGCATTAGTGAATTTTCTCATTGCTGTGACTAATACCTAACAAGAAGGAAATGGGGAGGGAAGGAGACAGGGTTGGTGTGACTTCCAGTTTGCCAGGATACAGTCCATCAAAGTGGAAGTCAGCACAGTGACAGGAGCAGAAGGCTGGTCACATTTCATTTGCAGTGGAGAAGCAGAGCAAGATGAACTCTGAAGCTAGCTGCTTTTTTCTTTGTACTCAGTTCAGGACTCAGTCCATGGAGTGGTGCCACCCACATTTATGGTGGCTCTTCTCTTTTCAATTAACCCAATCTAGAAACTCTTACAGAGGTTACCAGACATTTGTTTCTATGGTGATTCCAAATCCTGTGAGTTCCCATCATCTCCTCCAATTGCACTCCAGCCTGCAGAAAGTCTTTGCAGGCTCCTCTCTTTCTGTGTTGTAGCTTGAGTCCCTAACAGTGAGACACCTTTCTTCCTAGGGGAGAAGACTTAGGCCTCATTTTTCCTGAGTCAAGGGACTCTATTTCCAGAGCCCATCATCCATCACAAGGGACACTGTAAAAACATGCCATGTGATATTTAGAAGGGCCAAGGTCCAGAGCCTCAAGGACAGATCCAGGAACATTGCAGATCAAAGGAGAGTAGTAGGACCTGACTCCAAAGGTAAGTGTGACTCTGAACAGGATTTTTCTGTGATAAAGAACTTCACTGGGATGTGAGTGTGTGGTGTGGTGTGATGAGATCTTGAGAGTTGACCTCCTGTTTCTTAGAAAACACACTAAAGCATCTGAGGGGCAGCAGGCATCATGCTAACAAGTCACATCCGGGTAATTCAGGAAAAGAAATTCTTGGTACAACACCTGAATTTTTTTTCATGCATTATTTTATTTTAGAAGCACTCTTATTTACATACCCATCCCCCATGCCCTGGCGCTCCCATCCTCCCATGTTCCCCACCAACTCCCACAACCCATCCCTCACCTCCTCCCCAGGGATAGTGAGGCCCTCCACGGGGAACCGTCAAAGTGTGTCATATCATTTGGGGGAGGGCCCAGGCCCTCCTTCCTGTATCAGGGCTGCAATAGTATCCCTCCATAGAGAATGGGCTCCCAAAGTCCATTTGACAACACCTGAATCTTTTCTGTAGGTTTGAGATTGTGTTTAGCACAGGTGCATATATGAACACTGGGAACCTATAACTCACTGCCTAGACCCGAACTCCTTCTCTGCTATTGTTAGAATAAATAACTATGTACAATACTGACTGGTCCATGAAAGATGCATGACCTGGTCCAGCTCCTGCTATCTCCTTGTGTTTTGATCTGTGTGGCCATCCTGGCCTCCTGGATGTTTCTATAATGTGCCCAGCACTCTCCTGCCTTTGAAACCATGTATTGCTGTACCTTTGCTTGGTGTTTGGAACCCACATTTCCACATGTGGCTCTTCTCACTGTCTCTGGGGTCTTTGCCTTAATGTCCCCATGAGACCTTTGGGAGCAGCTCTTCCCCCAGGTCACGTGCCCAGCACCTGCTTTAACTTCATTTCTTCATAGTTAAGATCTAGGTAGCCAGTTCCCTGGAGTGACCCATCCACAGGCTGCTGTTTCCACTCCCTGAAATTTTAATACGGTTTCCCTAGGTGCCTGTTTCTTACTAGAATGTCGGCTCCTATAGGCAAGACTCTTCTAGGTTTCTCCTCTGATTCTATGGTCTAAAAAGGAGCATGCCCTGCCACAGCTGTACATATGAGAGGGTCCAATTTCCTATTTCAAAGATAAGGAAGTTGAGCCTTGGAGATGAAAGTGATTCATAGGTTCGCAGGAAGTACTCCACAAAGTCAGTGGGATATGAATTGTCAAAAAAAAAAACACCCAAAATATTCCTGGGCACTTGTGAGAGGCAATAACATAGCTCCCCCACTTACTCATGCAGAAGGGAGAAGACCCAGACAGACCCAGCTCAGGATTAATTAAAACAAAGGGAACTGGGACTTTGAAAGGAGAACCAAGAGGAGATGCTTCAGTAGCATTTCCCTCCCTCCCTTGTTTCCTTCTCATTATCCTAGACCAGCATGGGACTCACTAAATAGCTGATGCTGGCCTCAAACTCTGAATCCTCCCACCTCAGCCTCCTGAGTACTAGTATTATAGGTATGTGCCACAGTGTAGTTAACATGCTGTATTCTTGAACCAACACTGACTAGCAGACTGGAGTCACTGTTAAGGGCCTGGCCAAGCCTCAGCATAGTGCAGGAACATGTCCTTTGTGCCACAGGGGATTCCAAGCCTTCAAACTTTAAGGCAAGAGACAAGTAGGAAGACTCTGAAAATTGCTTTTGAAAACACCTCATTTGCTTCCTCCAGCCTGATTTGATGAATCACAGTAAGGAGAGCCGCCTGACACGCTCCTGTGTTCAATGCCAAGGAGAGCAAGTGGTCATTGGCAGTACTTAGCCACTAGAAAGACACAGACACTGGCTAGGACATGACGCAGGAACCAGGGACCCCAGAGGTAATGGTGAGGAAAACAAGACTGGTCTCTCCTTGAAGACTGCAGAGGAAGCAGTAAGGACAGAGGCCAGGTTTTGTGGACTGGTACCAGTCAGTACCTGTGGACAGAGCCGAGGACATCGGAAACTCCTTCTCCCTTCCCACTCTGGCTCAACGCCTTCTGCACCAAATGCCTTCATGGCAATGAGCTTTCTTAACTGGCCAATGCAGCCAAATCCACCAGGGCATGACTTAGCCCCCAGGCTGTTGGCTCAGTGTTAAGAAATACTGAACCATCCTGAAATGTGACTTTCTCAGTTCCAATTTTACTTGTTCATAACATACAACATACACATGATGCCAGAGCCTGGCATCCAAGCCCATTTCTGCTATCTGCCATCCAAATTTCTTTTTTTGGCATTCAAGCCTTTCTCTGCCATCCAAGTCCCATCTAGGCACTAGTGTCAACCCTAAAAGATGTTTTTCTCTAGCCAGAGGGTGACTGGGACCTTCTGAGGCCCATGAGGCATTCAGAACAGACAAAAGGGGACTGCAGAGCTCATACTTTTTTTTTTTGGAGGGGTTGTGTCTTGAGACAGGGTCTCTCTATGCAAACCAGGTTGGCCTTGAACTCACAGAGATATACCTATCTTTGCCTCCTGAGTGCTGGGATTAAAGGCCTGTGCTAACACACCCAGCTTTTTAAATCATGTTTTTAATTGAAATAATATTACACCCCCTTCTCCCTCCAGCCTCTTAGATACCTTCCCTAGAATTCCTTTCAGGTCCCCCCCTCGAGGTGATAGCCTCTTCTCTTTGATTATTATTGTTACACATATTGTTATGTGTGTGTATGCCTGCTGAGTCATTTCTGGTGGTGAGTATATCCCCAGACAAAGAACTACAGGTTACTAATGGCTGCTGGGAGGGAGAGAATTAGCTTCTCCTGGGATAAGTCCCATGTTTGTCCAATGTGGAGTGGTCAAAGTTCACACTTGTTGCTGCCCCTACTTGAGATGCAGAGCTCCCTGACTCTATACAGTCGAAGGACCAACCACCCAGTCATTGGATGTTCTCCTAGCACTTCCTCTGTGGCAGGCAGCTCTCTAAACACTTGGGCCATACATAAGCCAATGCACACAAGGGGCTTTCATAGACTTTTGCACAGGCCCCTCTCTGACCAGGCTCCTCTTTGTTCTTACTCTGCTGGGGGTTTGTACCTACCCTTCAAGATTCAGTTCAAACTCACCTGTCAGAAAGGCTTCATTTGTGCCCAGGGAAAGCGGGTTATGGAAAGTGTGTACACTACACTGTGTCTTCATTATCTTATTCTCAAAGACAAAAGACCTTGAGGATAGGGCTGTTTCAGTTTTGTAATAAAGAACACAAAATACAGAATTCCCACATACCCCCCAGTCACCTGCACGATCTCTATTGCCAGTGTCCTTCACTGGTGTGGAGTAATATGTCATTGCGATAGTTAATCTTAATTGCCAACTTGATGGGATTTAGAGCAACTGTGGAAACAAAATCTGAGCGTGTCTGGGAAGGAGTTTCTAGATTGAGTTGAGATAGGAAGCCCCACCCTGAATGTGGGTGGTATCATCCCTATGGGCTGGAATTCTGGTCTGAATTAGAAGGAGAAAGCCAGATGAGTCTCGGCATTCATGGTTCTTGGCTTCCTGACTGTGGTCTCAATGCAACCAGCTTCCTCATGTTCCAGCTGCCATGACTTCTTCACCTGCCGGACTGTACCCTCAAACTATAAAGCAAAGTCAACCCTTCCTTCCTTAGCTGCTTTCATCAGGGATTTTTTTCACAGCAGTGAGAAAACTTCTGTAGTTACTGTTAACTAACTGGTGCTCATTCTGTGGGTCTGACAAATGCCCACCGTTATATAGAAGAATAGATACACAGTGGTTTCACTGCCCTGAACATCCTCCATGCTCTGCTTACTCTCCCTTCTCCTTCCCGAAGCCCTGCTCACCACTGACCTTTCCACTATCTCCTTAGTGTTCCCTTGTCCAGAATGTCATTGAAATTGTGCAAAATGCAGCCTTTTGGCGTAAGTGGACACCCTTCTCTGCATTCAAGTTTTTTCTATGTCTCTCTATGTCTTCATGGCTCATTTTTTTAAATGGTGAATAATATTCCTCTAGATGGATATACCACAGTTTATTTACCTATTCACCTACTCAAAGACTCCTTAGTTGCTTTTATGTTTTGGAAGTCCTGTATAAAGTTACTATAAACAGCTGTGTGCAGGTGTTTGTGTGGATTCGAATGTTCAACTCCTTTAGCAAATGCAGAGGATGTTTGCTGCTTTGTATGGGAAAAGCACAGTGAGTTGTGTAAGAAGCTGCCATATAGTATTCCCAATTGACAAGCCACCATCAAAGAATGAGTTTCACTTACCAACTACATTTTCTGTTTGTCTTACTGCTTGGTCATTGTCAACTTGACACAAACTGTAAACACCTGGGAAGAAGGGACCTCAATTGAAGAACTGCCTCCATGAGATTGGCCTGTGGGCATGTTTGCAGGGGCATTTTCTTGATTAATGATTCATGTGGGAGGACCCAATTTACTCAGAGCAGTACCATCCCTGGGCAGGTGCTCTTGGGTTGAAAGCAGGCTATGAGGGGCAAGCCAGTAAGTAGTGACCATCCATGGCCTCTGCTTCAATTCCTGTCTAAGGATTCCTGCTTTGATTTCCTGCCCTGACTTCCTTTAGTGATGGAGTGTGACCTGAGAGTCATTAGCTGAAATAAACCCTTTCCTCCCCAAGTTGCTTTTAGTCATAGTGTTTAATCACAGTGATAGAAGTCCTAAGTAGAACAGCCATAAGCTGTTCCTACTCCTATCTGTCGCAGATTATGAACTGAGAGGTATGGTGCTGTTCATCATTATATCTTTACAGATGATTGTGAACCACCTTGTAGTTGATGGGAATTGAACTCAGGACCTCTGGAAGAACAGTCAGTGCTCTTAACCTCTGAGCCATCTCTCCAGCCCATCATTATATCTTGAAGGGTTGGTCCACCTGCCTAGGGATGGTGATGCTCATAGTGGTCTGGACATTAAGAAAAAATCATCTGGGCATAGTGGTATATACACCTTTAATTCCAGCACTCAAGAGGTAGAGGCAGGCAGATCTCTGTGTGTTCAAGGCCA